ACCGTTGAAAAATTCTTAACATAAATCTATAACAATTCCACATGTCCTTATCTATAACGAGTCCCTTTGAATATTGAGAAAAGACTTTTTCACGTGTTTGTTTATAATCTCAAAAGTCGAAAATGTTTACATTATTATATATACAAAATATAATAACGAATTCATTTCTTCATCATCTCATATTATGAAATTATGTTATTATATATGAAGTCTAGTCTTTTCCATAAAAACACTCTATGTTCTGGCTTAACGGCTTCAATTGTCAACTCAAATGTCAAACAAAAGTATGGTGTAATTTCCAATGAACAATTAAATCTTATCCAATTTAAAATTATTGATTAAAATCAGTTATTAAATAGTGCTACGTTATTAGATAGTTCTGATCCATTTTCATCAATATTTATTTACTCAAAGCAGTAAACATGTCTGTTGAAACGAGTGTTTCTGTGAATAATTTAAATATTAAAATCGAACCACTAGATATAGTTAAAATAGAAAATGAGGATAAATTTGATGATAATATCAAATCTGAATCCTGTTCTCAAGACGACAAAACTTGTTTAGAAAATTTCATGAATTCTGAAGTAACTATTGATGAAGAAGTCAAACAGGAATTAAATGTTGAAGGCTCGTTATGCAATCAATCACTTAATACAAAGTATCTATTAATTCTGCGCTTGTGTGATACCTCAAAAAAACCTTCAAGCTTGAATGAACCTGATAATGAAACAAAGCGTTCTCACAAATGTGAAATATGTAATAAGGTATTTGGATCATCAAGTAATTTGAAAACTCATTTGCTTGTTCATACAGTAAAACGTCCGTACCAATGTGAAATATGTAATAATAGATTCAAAACATCAACTAATTTGAAACTTCATATGCGAACACATACCGAAGAAGGGCCTTATAAATGTGAAACATGTGATAAAACATTCACACATATAGGTACTTTGAGAACACACATGATTGTTCATTCCACAGACCGTCCATTTAAATGTGAAATATGTAATAAGGGATTTAACTACTTACATAATCTACAAAAGCACAAGGTATTGCATACCGGAGAGCGTTCATATAAATGTGAAATATGTAGTAGAGCATTTTACACGACAAATGATTTAAAAAGACACATGCGTAATCATTCCACAGTGCGTCCATATAAGTGTGAAATATGTTATAAGAAATTCAATTCAACAACTAATTTAAAACTTCATATTCTAAGTCATACTGAAGAATATTCTCATGAATGCGAAATATGCAACAAAAAATTTGCACACTCATGTCGTCTGAAAAAACACATGTACATTCATACAGGAGATTTTCCATTTAAATGTGAAATATGCAAGAAGGGGTTTGCAGGAGCAAGTAATCTAAGAAAGCACATGTTTATTCATTCCGGAGAGCGTCTGTTTAAATGTGAAATATGTAATAAAGCATCCCAAACATCAGCTAGTTTGAAGAATCATATGAAAACACATATTGGGGAACGTCCATACAAATGTGGAATATGTAGTATGACATTCACAGAACGACATAATTTAAAAAGACATATGCTTATTCATTCCGGAGAGCGACCATTTAAATGTCAATTCTGTAAAAAATCATTCAGGCAATCAAGTGCTCTGAAAAAACACAAGGAGGCATTTCATAGCTGAGAAGATCTATAAATGTGAAATATTCGAAGGGATGAAAATAATTTGATTTTTAAACTACTTTGTTACATATATAAATAAAGTATTTTCTTATCTATTATTCATATTTATTATTTATTAACTTTCCACAGGGTAAGTAATTGTAATCGTCCCAAAATCGAAAATGAAAATTTTTGTAAATTTACGTTTCAGAGATTTCTGAACATTTTGGCATACCTTAGAAAAAATGGATGTTTGAGTGTATGTATGGATACAATTTTTCGTCCATGTTTTCGGGCGTACGAATCATCAACTGATTTGAGTGGTTTAAAAAACATTCATTCCTATTGATAGGAAGACGTGCCGATTAGTTTTTGGCAAAGGCAGGTCCGGCCGGTACGGAAATACGGAACAAAGAGTGCAGAAAATATGAATCGAGTTTTTGAGAGAACGGAGCATCCGATTTGAATGATCCAAAAAAAAGCATTTGATTTGTAGTTTTGAGGAGAAGTGGTGATTAGTTTTTGGCAAAGGCAGGTCCAGACGTATCGGAGACACCGAGCTAAATGTACAAAAACGGCAGTTTTTGAGAGAACTAAGCGTCCGATTTGAATGATCTAAAAAGCTTTCTGCTTGTGTTGACGAAACAATTGCTTTAATGATTAAGCTAATTTCAAAAATGTATACTAGTTGTACTATATATAGTTAAGAACTGTAATTTCAGTATGTTAAACTTTGAAGTATATACTAAAAGTGTACATATATAAAATTTTATGTTTTCGAACAAATTATTGAAGTTTGTTGATACTTAACAAAATTTTGTCTCTTAAAACTAGTTAACAACGAAAAGAAAAAAAAATCTACGTAAAGTTCTAAGACTCACAATACTATACTATACTTAAATAAATAATTTTAACTTTGCAATTCAGTTTATACAATTCTTATAAATATTAGACAAAGTTACAATATTTATAATGATCTATTTGAAAACATTTAATATTCCTCGAAGATTTCGTTACGGTACGGGAAGTTCCAGCAATTTGCCTTAGGGCACGATGCAATGCACCACTAAACTACATTATTTAAAAAAAACTAAGACTTTTTAATAGACATAATAATATACTAAGAGAATTCTAATAAGCTTCTTATAGAATTCTGAATAGACTTCCAATATACTTCCAACCAGGGAATGCAATACCGATGGAAAATTTCAATACCGGTATTTCGGTAATTTTTCATTTTAAAACCGGAATACCGGTAAATTACCGGTATTTTTATTATCTTACACAAACGTAAACAAAATTGAAAGTTACTAGTACAAATATAAAAAAATGTATGTACAACTACAACTATATTCAAGTAAACAATAAAATAAAACAATAAGTTTATTTCTTTAACTAATGATTTAACAAAAGTATATGCAATTTAATTAATTCATTATCACTATCGAGTATATTGAGTACTTTTCACCAAAACCAAACAGAAAGACCAAAAACTCATAAAAGATCATATTACATTATTTTAATAAACTGTATTGTCTGTATCCGATGTGTTAAATTAGCATAATTTCCAATATTTAAAAATAATAATTTTTTTACACTAATTTAAGATCGTATTCTTTGTCAAAATCAATAATAAGTTACTATAATTGCTGAGGATTGTTATTTATCACATTGTGATGCTTCTATAGTATTTTCAAACTTCGAAACCTTTTCGAAAAATAATACTTTATAATTGTAATAAGAAGCAAAAATATTTAGTAATCATCATAATTATTATGTATAAAGTTAGAAAAAAATAAAGATTACGCAAGGGTAATCTGTATGATATAAAATATTTTGGGACAAATATTATTTAAAATCCGTTACAAAAGATGAAACAAACATCATTATCTATAAGTCAAATTATATTTATCGTGTCACGATATGAAGCCCTTTGGAAAGCAATAAATATTCAGTTTAATGACGAGTAGAGATAATATTTGACATTTGTTTATCCTATAGAATCACTTGAAGATATAGCTGTTTATGCGATTATGGAATTTAAAGATACATTTGTTCCGAGAAATTTAAACATTAGTGTATTATGTATCAAATAGCGCTTATGTAAAAATACCGAAAATACCGGTATTTTTGGAATAAATACCGGTAAAATACCGCCATAAAATCGGGCGGTTTACCGGTAATTCGGTATACCGGTATACCGGTATTGCATTCCCTACTTCCAACTAATTAATTCAGTAATTCATTGATCTTTACAATGATTTTGAAAATTAGTATTTTACAAAATGTATATTTATTTAAAAAACAAAACCTATCAAAAATTTTTACAAACATTTCACTTATAATGTCATAAAAATTTCTAGTTAATAAATTAAAAACTACAAAAAATCGTATAAACTAATTTATGATGGCAACAGATAGATTAAATTTAGACTTGCCAGTAACCTCGATCCATGGATATGGTGACGTTAAAGTTTTTGGACATGATACAGTAAGTTATAAAAAATCACATGACACTTGGTACAATTATTTTCCTTTTTTTATGGGCCGAAAATCGAAAATGAAATTTTTGCATTTCTCGACGTTTTGAAGGTTTCTGAACATTTTGGCATACCTCAGAAACCAAACGGATGTGTGTGTTTTGTGTATGTCTGCATTTTTTCGTCCACGTTTTCGGGCGCACGGATCAACCGATTTGAATAATTTAAGAAACATTCGATCCCTATTGATAGGGAGATGTGCTGATTAGTTTTTGGCAAAGGCAGGTCCAGCCGTTACGGAGATACGGAGCAAAGAGTGCAGAAAATACAAATCGAGTTTTTGAGAGTACGGAGTAAAAAAATAAAAAAATGAAAAATCATTACATCTTTTTTTATTTTCCATAAAATATTTTTGTAATTTTGGATTAGAATTTAAAAAATTACCCAGACTAAGCACAGTCTAAGCGCCACTCTGGTACAAATGTTTACCCGAGTGCGTTTAGACTGTTTATGTACCTACTGAAGCACTTTTCCAATTTTGTGAAAACTATTGAAAAATGTGAAAATGCCGCCAAGCTAAGCACAGTATAAGTGAAAATGTCGCAGGAAATTATTTGCAAATGCGTTTAGACTGTGACTATACGAGAGCACTTTTTCAATTTTGTGTAAATTAAGCATATTTTTTTTTTTTGAAATTGAATTCGAAATGAAATGACGATTGTTGTTAATGTCCTGGAGATAAATTGATTTATGATTTACAATTGATTTTCTCAGATATAACAAACAAGATAGCAAAAATAATGGAAGTTACAGTATTTGTAATAATAAATTTGAAAACGTTTAAAATTGGTTTGTCGGTTTTTAAAAACCGATTTTAAAACCGTTTTTTTTTTGTGAAAATTATGGAATTTGAAAACCGTTTTTTTAACGAAAAAAGTCGTTTTTTACTGTATATGTGGAAAATGACAAATATAACCAAATATGAAATATAGATGAAAGCGTTTTTATTCTTGAAATCATATCGGTTCAATAGCATTTGATATCTCATCAGTCTGCAATGGTTCCCACAAAGGTTTTGTATATATTACATTAGATTTTTATAACAGTGTATATATTAATTTAATTTTATACCAGTGTATATTTTAATTTAAATCAGTGTGACTTCTTCTTGAAGAAGTAACTTCCTCTACTCTAACTCAAAAAGAAGAGTTTTAAACCCTAGAAGCCACAAATTAAAGAACAAAAAACTTAGAATTATTATATCAGGCTTTAAAAACAATTAAGCATAATTTGGTCGCTAGTATGAGAGTATTTTCTATTTCAGAAAATTTTGTGAGTAAACAATAAAGGACACGTCTAAGTAGCAATTTAAGTAGCAATTCGATAGACGATTGAAATCATATTATATTAAACAAAAAATACAATTAGAATGTTTAAAATTAATTAATTAAAATTGCTCGGAACAAACAATACCCGAGTTTAGCTTAATTGTTTTTAAAACTATAATTGATATTAACAAGTGCGTATCTAATATATTGTTTTATTTTATTTTAATTTAATGAATTTTTGTTATTTATTAATGTATTATTTTTATTTATTCAAAAACTTTCCTATCACTATCATAAAAATATTTTCATTCTTATATGTGAAAATGATGCATGAATAACGAATAATTATTTTCAAAGTTATTAAATCAAGATAAACTTTTATTTTTAGTTCTACTAATTAAAATTAAAATAATTTTGTTTACTATCTATAAATTTGAACAATAAATAAATTCAGTCAAATTCTGCTCTAAATTACACTAAATTTGCGGATAAATTACAGAATATTCGAGCAAAAATGTATTTTTATATAAAATTCGAAAACTGGTTTTCTGAAATGTCGGTTTTTGTATAAACCCTAGTTTAAAATTTCATTATGGTACGGGAAGTTCCAGCAATTTGCCTTAAGGCACGATGCCATACGCCACTAGTTTTGTTATTATTATTTCTTCAGCCTCTGGCAGCCATCCAAGGCACCAAGAAGCCCTGTCTGGCACCATGCAGTGTCAACAAACCAGGTTGCGATTCCCGAATGCGAGAATGCAGACGAAGGTACCAGAATCGCACCCCGGTGCAAAAACCAGCAGGGGTTGAAGGAGTCGTCGACCCTTTGGCTTTGGAGCCCTGCGGGAGCGGATCGGCCCTGGAAGAATACCAGGAACCTGAAGGTAAAGATAATGGGTATAAAAATATATATCTACATATATATAAAAATAAGTCGGGTTTTCCTTCCTGACGAAATAACTCCAGAACGCACGAACCGATTTCGACAATTTTGCATTCGTTGGAAAGGTCTCGGGCTCCGCAAGGTTTATATCTAAGAAAATTAGTTGTGCATGGCATCGTGCCTTAATGCAAATTGCTGGAACTTCACGCACCGTAATTAAAAATTCGTGTAAAGACTTTAGTGAGAATTATCAGAATTATGCTTGCAGTTAAGTCAACGAGCAGTTCTTGCCGCAAAGAATAATGATGTGCACGCACTGAATTTCACCATTCAATCAAAAATTGCTGGCGATTTGGTGACATACCAATGATTCCGACTGTTCTTCCGTTTGTCTTCAAACGATTGCAATTTCGAGTTCCCCTTGCGTTCGCAATGACAACTAACAAGTCGCAAAGCCAATCGCTTAGTGTTTGCGGGATAAATTTCAAATAGATTATTTATAAAATCATTGTTTTTCACATGGGCAGTTATACGTTGCCTGTTCACGAGTTGGAAAACCATCCGCTTTGCTTGTGTTAACGTCAGACCAAAAAACAAAAAATGTGGTTTACCAAAGAGCACTTCAATGAAACAGAAAATTTGCGGATCACTTTCATTTACTTAGAGAAGCTCAACTAAAAAACACTTCATTTTTGTAATCGAAATAAATTCATTACTGTTGTATAATAAAATCAAAGATCTAGTTTTAGATTTAAAAATATATATCTATTTTTGTGCAGAGTATTTTCCGACCGGTCCAAAGTTGCCTGAAAGGCGGCATTTGCGAACGGGAGATCCCAATGTCCATTTGACTGAAGAAGGCTTCGACTTTTTGTATCCTGATGATGGGGTTTCTGAACCTGAAGTGGTTATGATGTATACTTGGACCACTAGAAGTCGGATGACTGTTAAAGTAAGATTTTTGAAATTTTGACAACAGATATATCAATCCATCTATTTTGATACCAAATTGTAAAATTAGCAAAGTTCCATTCAACATTTGTAAATATTTACAATTGTTTGTAAAAGCCACTACGTCGTTAGTACTAGGGTTTATACAAAAACCGACATTTCAGAAAATCTGTTTTCGAATTTTAATTTTACCAGAAAACCGGCTTTGACCGGTTTTCGAATTTTATATAGAAAATAAATTTTTGCTCGAATATCCTGTAATTTATACGCAAATTTAGTGTAATTTAGAGCATTATTTGACTGAATTATTTATTGTTCACTTTTATAGATAGTAAACAAAATTATTTTAATTTTAATTAGTATAACTAAAAAATAATAGTTTATCTTGATTAAATAACTTTGAAAATAATTATTCGTTATTCATGCATCATTTTCACATATAAGAATGAAAATATTTTTATGATAGTGAAAGGAAAGTTTTTTGAATAAATAAAAATAATTCATTTTTAAATTAAAAAAAAACATTAAATTAAAATAAAATAAAAATATTAGATACATGTTGATACACTTGTTAATATCAATTTAGTTTTAAAAACAATTAAGCTAAACTCAGGTATTGTCTGTTCCGAACAATTTTAATTAATTAATTTTAGACATTTTAATTGTTTTTTTTTTTAATAAAATATGATTTAAAAAAAAACTGAGAACGTCTATCGAATTGCTACTTAGATTTGTCCTTGTTTACTCACAAAATTTTCTGAAATAGAAACACTCTCATACTTGCGACGAAATTATGCTTAATTGTTTTTAAAGCCTGATATAATAATTCCAAGTTTTTTGTTCTTTTATTTGTGGCTTCTAGGGTTTAAAACTCTTTTTTTTAAGTTTGAGTAGAGGAAGTTACTTCTTCAATAAGATGTCACACTGATTGAAATTAATATATACACTGGTATAAAAATCTAAATTAATACAAAACATTTCTGGTAACTATTGCAGACTGATAAGATATCAAATGCTATTGAACCGATATGATTTCGAGAATCAAAACGCTTTCATCTATCCTTTATATTTGACTATATTTTTCATTTTTCATTTTTACAGTGAAAACCGACTTTTTTCACTAAAAAACCGGTTTTCGAATTCCATAATTTTCGCCAAAAAAACGGTTTTTAAAACCGTTTTTGAAAACCGACAACCCCAGTTTAGTACTATAAGTAATCTTGGTTGCTTGTTTTGAAAAAATTGTGCTGCACGCGAATTTGCATTACACATCAAAAATTTTGACAACAGATATATCATGCATCTATTTTGATAACATATGGTAAAATTAGCATACTTTTTATCAAAATATTTACAACAATTTGAAAAACTACAACGTTACTAGTACCGAATGTAATCTTGGCTTGTTTTTAAAAACGTGTTTCTGTACGCACCGTTTGCATTACACTCTGCAAGGCAACAGGTACATTAATAATCGAACTAATTTGAGACCAGCCACAAAAATTAGCAAAGTTTCATTCAAATTTTTAAAATATTTACAACAATTTGCACAAACTACAACGTCACTAGTACCGAAGGTAATCCTTGGCTTGTTTTCAAAATGTGCTCATGTACGCACACCGTTTGCATTACACACCTATAATTTTGCCAACTGGTATATCAATACATCTACTTTAGCACTAAATACTAAAATTAGTAAACTTTTATTCAAATTTTTTGAATATTACAACAATTTGCACAAACTACTACATCACTAGTACTGAAGGTAATTTTTAACTTGCATCCAAAACGTGTTCCTGCACGCACCGTTTGCATTACACTCAGGCCGGATTTAGAATTTTGGCGCCCCGGGGCACTGACAAAAATGCCGCCCCAACCCTGAAATTTTACGAACTTTCAAACTTTTTTTAAAGCAACCGCGCTGCTTCAGCTGCGAGGGACAAAATATAGAAGCGCGTAAGCGCCGCGTCGCAGTCTAACGAATAAATAATGTTTACAGAACTTATGTAAATGTAAACAAAATTTATACTTATTATTATAATATCTTTAAAATATCTTATAATTTAATGTGCATATGTCTTATGATAATTTTTGTCCGCCAAATTTTCTTTTTCAAATTTTTTTATTGGATTATCGAAACCGCTAAAACCTGCCCCCCAATAAATTTAAACAGTTTATTTATTCTGTAAATTTTTTTGAATGTTATTGGACGCTTTTTTCTCAAAAACTGAATTATCATTTCTGGCATTTTGGCCCGTATCTTCAAAACAGTTGGACCTGCCTTGACCAATATCTAATCAGCACGTCTCCTATCAATAGAAATTGAATCATAAATCGGTTGATCCGTGGTTCTCGAAATCGACTTGAATATTAAAAATCTTAGATTTGTATTAATGGGATGACGTGCTGATTAGCTTTTGGTACAGGCAATTACGAAAAAATGGTAATTGATTTTGATATTCCTTCTCTTCTTTGCAAAAGTTCAGAATTTTCGAAAAATTTCAAATACAAAAATGTGTTTTAGAAGTCTTTTCTTCATTTTTCAATAAAATGTAAAGCTCTTATAAAAAATGTAATTTTCAGTACGGAATGTTTCAGTAATTTGTCTCAAGGCACAATGCCATGAGTCACTAGTTTAAATTATTTTTCGACGCTATAAGCTTGGAAGTGCACAAATACGTGCATTTTAAGAAGGCTCGAGAACTGAAGAACATATTTTTCTTAAACTTTTAGCTTGTTTACGATTTTTATACTAGCCAAATTGCCAAATTTGATAACTTATTAACCAATTTGATAATTTACGTTCGGAGAGGGAAGCAAAGCATAATAATAATTTTAGTTATCGTTTATTTCTACCCATTTTGCATTTCTTGCAATAAAAATGTTGTTAAAGTTGATTATATTGTATAGAATTTTTTTCTCACTATCCAAATTTTGCCGCCCCCCAAAATTTGCCGCCCTGGGCAGTAGCCCCGATTGCCCCTACTGTAAATCCAGCACTGATTACACTTCTAAAATTTTGCCAGCTGGTATATCAATACATCTACTTTAGCACTAAATATTAAAATTAGTAAACTTTTATTCAAAATTTTTGCATATTTACAACAATTTGCAAAAATTACAACGTCACTAGTACCGAAGGTAATCCTTGGCTTGTTTTCAAAACGTATTCCTGGACGCACCGTTTGCACTACACACACACCTACAATTTTGACAACTAGTACATCAATCAATCTACTTGATACTAAATACTAAAACTAGCATGCTTCCATTCATCTTCTGTAAATATTTACAACAATTTGCACAATCTGCATCATCACTAGAACCATAGGTGTAATCTTTTGCTTGGTCAAAACGTGCTCCTGTACGGACCGTTTGCATTACACTCCCAAAATTTAGGCAACTGGTGCATCAATCAATTTACTACTCGAGACCTATTACTAAAATTGGTGAGCTTTATTCAAAATTTGTTAATATTTACAACAATTTGCAAAAACTACAACGTCACTGGTATCGCAGGTAATCTTTGGCTAGTTTCCAAAACGTGTTCCTGGACGCACCGTTTGCATTACACCCTACAATTTTGACAATTGGCACATCAATACATCTACTTTAGCACCAGTTACTAAAATTAACGCACTTTTATTCAAAATAAGTAAATATATGCAACAATTTGCAAAAATACAACGTCACTGTACCTTAGGCAATGTTTTGCTTGGTTTCAAAAGGTGCTGCTGCACGCACCGTTTGCATTACACTACTAGAATTAAGACATCAAACTATATTAGCACCAAAATTAACAATTCAAAATTTGTAACAATTTATAATCTATGTATATATATATAATATATATATATATATATATATTTTATCCCAGGTGATAACTTATGGAGCAACTGTAGTAGGTATTTCAGTACCAGATGCAAGAGGAATGGTTCAAGATGTTTTGCTAGGATTCGACGATTTAGCAGGTAATAATAAAACACTCTTTTACTTATAAAAAAATTAAATACAGTATGTGTTTTCCTCCTTTCAGGTTACAGGAGACAAAGCAATCCTTATATAGGCGCAACCTTGGGTCGTGTTGCAAATTACATCGAAAATGCGAACTACAATATCTCCACGACGAGTACGACTTGAGGCCAAATCGTCCACCACATCATTTTAACGGAGGTCGTAGAGGATTTGATAAAAAATTGTGGACTGCCACTCAGGATGGAACTAAGGTAAAGAATAAAGGACTCAAGTTTATACAAAATGCCTATCATATTTTGTTGATATTATCCATGTATTATTATTTTTGTTGTGTTTTTCTAGATTATAATGAACCTGGTGTCCGAGTCTGGTGCTGAAGGTTATCCTGGTAAATTGTTGACGTCCATAACCTTCCAGGTGACTGCTGAAAACAGATTTATTGTCAGTATGAGATCTGCAAGTGATTGTTCGACTCCTGTGAGCCTCACACATGCACTGAGACTCAATTTGGCAGGACATGTAAGTAACATAGATTTTTTGGAATTTTTGGGGATCTAAATAGCTAAATCATTCAATCAAATGCAATTTTGTTAGAAATCACATCAGTTTGAATATTAGACATTAAAGTAGTCATATTGCATAATAGTTTGCTAAAATTTTGGAATTCTAATAACTGTATTGTGACCCCTAGACGTCCTTAAAGATATGACTTTCTCATCCCTCACCTGGATCATTTTTCAAATTTTTGTGAAATGCATAAAATTTTGTTAGAAATCTCATTAATTTTACGATTAGATATTGAAGTAGTCATATTGCAAAATAGTTTGCTAAAATTTCGGGATCCTGGTAACTGTATTGTGACCCCAAGACGTCTTTGAAAATATGACTTTCTTATCTCTCACCTGGATCATTTCTCTAATTTTTGATTAATACACAAAATTTTGTTAGTAACCTCATCAATTGTACTATTTGACATTAAAGTAGAGGCATTACAAAATATTCTGCTCAAATTTTAGAGTTTTGTTAACTATATTGTGACCCCTAGACGTTTTTGAAGATTTGACTTTCTCATCCCTCACCTGGATCATTTTTCAAATTTTTGTGAAATGCATAAAATTTTGTTAGAAATCTCATTAATTTTACTAATAGACATTGAGGTAGCCATATTGCAAAATAGTTTGCTGAAATTTTGGAATTCTGGTGACTATATTGTGACCCCTAGACGACCTTGAAGATATAACTTTTTCAACTCTCACAAGAATCATTTCTCTATTTTTTGTTAAAAACATGAAATTTTATTAAAAGCTTCATAAATTTGAATATTAGACATTAAACTAGTTATAATGCAAAATAGTTTGATAAAATTTCGGGATCCTGGTAACTGTATTGTGACCCCTAAACGTCCTTCAATATAAGACCCTCTTATCTCTCCCCTGGATCATTTTTCACATTTTTGCTAAATGCATGAAATTTTGTTAGAAATCCTATTAATTTTAGTAATAGACATTGAAGTAGTTATATTGCAAAATATTCTGCTCAAATGTTGGAGTTTTGTTAACTATATTGTGACCTCTAGACGTTTTTGAAGATATGACTTTCTCATCCCTCACTCTTAACTTTTTGATTAATACACAAAATTTTGTTAGAAACCTCATCAATTTTACTATTTGACATTAAAATAGAAGCATTGCAAAATAGTTTGTTCAAGTTTTGGAATTCTGGTAACTGTATTGAGACCCCTAGACGTCTTTGAAAATATGACTTTCCTATCTCTCACCTGGATCATTTCTTAAATTTCTGATTAATACATAAAATTTTGTTAGAAACCTCATCAATTTTACTATTTGACATTAAAGTAGAAGCATTGCAAAATATTCTGCTCAAATTTTGGAGTTTTGTTAACTATATTGTGACCCCTAGACGACCTTGAAGATATGACTTTCTCATCCCTCACCTGGATCATTTTTCAAATTTTTGCTAAATGCATGAAATTTCGTTAGAAACCTTATAAATTTTAATATTGGACATCAAAGTGGTCGTGTTGCAAAATAGTTTGCTGAAATTTTGGAATTCTGGTAACTGTATTGTGACCCCTAGACATCCTTGAAGATATAACTTTCTTATCTCTCACATGGATCATTTCTCAAATTTCTATTTAATACATGAACTTTTGTTAGAAACCTCTTCAATTTTAATATTCTACATTAAAATATTCATATTGCAAAATAGTTTGCTGAGATTTTTTGGATTTTTTTGGGGATCTAAATAGCTAAATCGTAGGTTTAAACCCACAAGTAACTTTTTGTTTTTGTTTCAGAATGCTGGTCTTTTGGACATCTTTAAACATCGCGTCACTGTCGATGCTGATAAATACGTTGAGAAGAATTTTTTGGGATTGCCAACTGGTAAGATATATATTATAAGCTATTGATTGCTACTTTTTGGTTTAATCACCCATCTATTCTCTCAAAGTTAGCTTTCATGTTTTTGGTATATTATACTTCCAAATGTCTGTGACTTCTTTTTTGCAAGCAAGTCATCCACCAACTGCAATCTTCCACTCTTAAGTCATTTTATTTCCGAGTGCTTTTTAAATTGGTGCCGGATGCAGATTTTTTTCAAATAGTAGAAGTCTCTTTTGCCAAACTTTTTGCAACTCTTCTTAATTTATTACCTTAACGTCCTCTCCAACTAGTTTATTTACTATTTATCATAGAATGAAGTGATTTTCACCATTTTTGTCTTATGTTTAAGGTAAATTGCTAAAAGTAGCAGCAACTCAGTACGATTTTCGGGTGGAAAGAAACATTGGAGGGTTGTTAAGAAGATGTGCAAGACGAGGAATCGACCATACATTGTGCTTGACACACCAACCAGAACCGAAGGAGGACGAAGATGATGAGGACAATGTTATTTTTGTAGCCAGGTGAGGAAAAAGTAATAGAAATTTTAATTGAATTTTTTATTTCTTGTTCTTGTTTTTTTATTTGATGATCATGCTGTCCGGTATTAGTTCTAGGATTCAGGTTTTTGCAGAAGAATTAAGGATATTTTAGGTTGCTTTAAAAATAATATTACTTTTAGAATTGTTTATAATATTGGAACTGTACTAGAAATTTTTCTGATGTTTCCACAATTTGAGGAAGCATAGAAGCAAAAGTGTTACTCAAATTTCAGCTTCCAATTTTTTTTTGTCTTGCGCTTTGGCTTTCAAATCCCTCAACTTTTTCTTGCATAATAAGTAGTCCAACAACTGCATACTTCCAAGGATCTTTAGACATTTTATTTGTCTATCAATTTTTCCAAAAGTGCAATCAATTTAGGCAGCAGACGTTTTCCCGATCTTCATTTGTCCCATTTTATGCTCTCATGTTTTTCTTGCTTAGAGTCCGTGTCTCTGATCCGTTTAGAGCCTTACTTATAGAATTTTCTTTTAAATTTAATTTAATTTAGGTACTATTAATAATTTAATTATTTTTTAGGATATTGCATCCAGATTCTGGTCGCGTTTTGGAAATCTACAGCAACCAGCCTGGTTTGAATTTTAGCACTTGCAACGATCTTCCTGATCATGGATACGATGTAAGTAGTTTAGGGGAAGTTTATTGATCACGTGATCGATTCTTTAAGAATTTTTTGACACTTTGACCTACAAACATCACGTGTATTTTTGATTTAATTCACCAAAAAATCGTATTTTTTTATATTTTTTTGAAAATTCAGGTAAAAAGTTCTTGTTCTATATTTTTGTTCTTCTGGCAGGGTTCGAGAATATTTATTATTATTTTTACATTGATTTCCATTAAATTTATTAATTTTAAAAAGAGATATATTTTTTAATTTATTTATATTTTCAGTTAGCTAGGGTGAATCTAGATAAAATTTACTACGTTTCCTATGGAACAGTGTGATGGAACCTTCTAATTAGTGCTTTTATTAAAACTTTAGTAGCAAATATTATGGTAAAGGAATAGGGTGAAAATTTAGGTCTATTATTTTTTATAGTTATTGCCTGAAGATCCTGACGACAAGGAAAACGTGTACTTGAGGCCAGTCGACACAGTTAACGAATACACCCAGGTAAAAAATTAAATAAATCACTTTAATATTATTTACTATATCACTTTACCATTGTATATTATCAGGTAATAGAAGATGATATAGATTTTGAAATGTTTCCTGAAGATGACGAGGAAGAAGAAGAAGAAGACATGGCCAAAGCTCATGTAGAAGGTGACCTGAGCGAAGCTGAATTAAATTTGAGCCCTTCAGAAATTGGTAATATTAAAATATAATACGTGAAGTAATTTTTTAAAAGAAAAAAATTACCGAGGCTAAGCACAATCTAAGCGCCACTCTGGTACAAATGTTTACCCAAGTGCCTTCAGACTGTTTATGTACTGAAGCACTTCTCCAATTTTGTGAAAAAACTATTGGAAAATGTGAAAATGCCGCCAAGCTAAGCACAGTATAAGTGAAAATGTTGCTCAGAATTATTTGCAAATGCGTTTAGACTGTGACTGTGCGGGAGCACTTTTTCAATTTTGCGTAAATTAGGCAACTATTTTTTTTTTTGAAATTGAATTCGAAATGAAATGGCGATTGTTAATGTTCTGGAGATAAATTGATTCAAATGATTTACATTGGGTTCGCTCAGATATAACAAGATAGCAAAAATAATGAAAGTTACAGTATTTGTAATAATATATTTGAAAACGTTTAAAATTTCTCGAATATTTTATTACGGTACAGCAAGTTTCATCAATTTGCCTTAAGGCACGATGCCATACACCCCACTAGTTTTACCTAATTTTCTTCTGCAGAAGCTCGTCTGGCGTTTCGGAAACAAAGTGCAGCGGCCAAAAAATCAGACGTTTTCCAAAGAATTTCTTTGATCACCAAGAAAGGCATAGAAGCCAAAAGCTCCGTGGAAGCAACTTCAGAAGAACTTGTTCCTGTCAAAATACGTAAGCACCACCAATACTTTATACCTTAACTAGATGACCCGGCAGACGTTGTCCGGTACCCATGTCTATAATTTTTTAATATTCTATACTAATATTTACCGTTTACCTAAAAATAATAATTATTGTTTTTTAAATTACTCCTCACGCCAAAATGCATATACATTTATAATATGAGCGATGTTAAATGTAGAACTGCTTTAAATAAAATGAGTCTCAATTTTCACACTATATTGGAGATTGAAGTCTTTTAAACGGTATAACATAACCATAACGATTACATAACATTGGATTAAATTAATTTAATTTTTCATTATTCAAGATATCCAAAATTGCATCTTAAACTTCTTCTAATCGATATCGTGAGTGCCGAATTGTCTTTATTCATCTTTACTTTCCCATTTGTTTTTATAAAGTGAAATTTTTACGAATTTTAAAAATATTGTGGAAAGATTAGTAAAAGATGCAAAGAAATTATATATTGAAAAATAAACTATGTTGAAAATTTAATATCCGAATCCTGTGTTGGCGCCCCCTAAGGCGTGCGCTCGTATTTTTCGCATGCATCGCATTAAAGGTACGACCGGCCCTGAATAATACTTAATTTCATATTTTAAGTGAATTAATTTGTCATATCCTGTTCATATGTGTATCGTTCAATGTGCCATACATATATTGTATATTATAATATTTATAATTTTTTTTATCTCAGCTACTTTTTGGCAATAATAATATAAACATTTCATTTTTCTTATTCATAATCATGAATTAATTATACACATTCTAATATTGTCTTGGTTCATAAGGAAATTGAAATTTTTGGCATATGATAGTTTTCATTTGTTTTCAATGCAAACAATTACATGTCGTTTTTTGCATTTTTTCCCTTTATTTCTACAATATTGCACATACATCTCAGTACTTTATACTCGCATTCATCCTGGAAAATTTTCTTAACGTACTTCAGAAAGATTTACCAAAATCCGAATAATCGTTTAGAAGGGGTATACGGTGAGTGCTTGTAATTTAATATGAACTTTATATAATAGCAATAAAGCTCAAATCGATTAAACGTTTTAGTTAGAAAACGTTTGTATGAGAAAACGAAAAGGCTGTTTTTAGAGTTTCTCCTGCTATTATTCGATTTTTTCTCGCCGTAAGAACCATCTTTGGACTTCAACGAACATTTAAAAAAAACGAATTGGCCAAATCGGTTCAGGCGTTGTTTAGTTATGCGCTTACCAACACATTTTGCGATTCATTTTTATATATAAGAAGATTACGTAATTAGGTCGTCTTTTTTTCCAGAGCGTAAAGTTTCTGATCCCGATGCCGGTGGTGCCGAATGGTGGGGCAAGACACCACCAGGGGCTGAAGATTTGTACGAATCAGCCAGGGAAGCAAGGATGAAGGCTTTGAAGGGTTTTGATGAGACTAGTGAACATGGTGCTGCTTGTTCTAAGGATTGCCCTTGTAGACTTACTGAGGATCAACGACTCAAGTAAGGAAAGATAATAGACACATAAGTATATATAAAAGTAGATAAGTAGACAAATCGACAGGTAGGGAATATTATTAACTTCCCGTAGGGTAGTTATAGTGATGGACCGAAAATCGAAAATGAAAATTTTTGCATTTCTCGACGTTTTGAAGGTTTCTGAACATTTTGGCATACCTCAGAAACTAAATGGATGTTTGTGTGTGTTGTATGTCCGCATTTTTTCGTCCACGTTTTCGGGCGCACGGATCAACCGATTTGAATGATTCAAAACACATTCGATTCCTATTGATAGGGAGATGTGCTGATTAGTTTTTGGCAAAGGCAAGTCCAGACGTTACGGAGATACGGAGCAAAGAGTGCAGAAAATACAAACCGAGTTTCTGAGAGAACGGAGTATCGGATTTGAATGATCTAAAAAACATTCACTTTGTAAAGATTGGGAGAAGAGTTGATTAGTTTTTGGCAAAGACAGGTCCCGCCATTCCGAAGAAACAAAGCTAAATGTGCAAAAAATGGCAGTTTTTGTGTGAATTGAGCGTCCGATTTGAATGATCTAAAAAACTGTCTGCTTGTTTCAACAAAATAATTGCTTTTGAGAATAAAAAATTATTACATCTTTTTTTATTTTCCATAAAATATTTTTATAATTTTGGATTAGAAATTCAAAAAATTACCCAGGCTAAGCACAATCTAAGCGCCACTCTGGTACAAATGTTTACCCAAATGCGTTTAGACCGTTTATGTACAGAAGCACTTTTCCAAATTTGTGAAAACTATTGAAAAATGTGAAAATGGCGCCAAGCTAAGCACAGTATAAGTGAAAATGTCGCACAGAATTATTTGCAAATAGACTGTGACTATACGGGAGCACTTTTTCAATTTTGTGTAAATTAGGCAACTATTTTTTTTAAATTGAATTCGAAATGAAATGACGATTGTTATTGTTCTGGAGATGAATTTATTTATGATTTACATTTGATTTTCTCAGATATAACAGGATAGCAAAAATAATGAAAGTTACAGTATTTGTAATAATTTTTGAAAGCGTTTAAAATTTCTTGAATATTTCATAACGGTACGAGAAGTTCCAGCAATTTGCCTTAAGGCACGATGCCATACACTACTAGTTAGAATTTTTCCTGAATTTTTATGATCTTTTGGATTCCAATGGCAATTTTTATAATTAGTGATAAATTATCTCAGACTGCTAGTATGTGGATTTTTCTAAGATTTGTCTTAATTCTTCACTTATTTATTTTTTTAAGAGTTATCTTCATAATCGTAAACAGATTGTCTATCTTAATGGATTCTTGGGCAATGTTGAAAATATCAGTTCAGGTGTTCCTCAGGAATCCATTCTTGGTCCACTACTATTTATTATTTTTATTAATGACATATCTGATATTATTAGCTGTCCACATTTATTATTTGCAGATGATCTGAAACTATATGTCAAAATAAATTCTATTGATGACTGCTTATTATTACAGTCTCAACTTGACTCTTTCCACTCTTGATGTGTCTATAACAAATTACATTTAAATATATCAAAGTGCAAGATTCTTAGTTTTTCACATAAGCGCGTTGCAATACAATTTGATTATAAAATTTCTAAACACCAGCATTGATAGATGTAATAAAATTTTAGATTTAGGAGTTTTATTTGATTCTGGATCACATAACTGATATTTGTAATAAAGCACATAAATCTTTAGGTTTGATACTGAGAAATTGTAAACAATTCAATTCTAACAATGCATCTCTTTGCATGTACTATTCTATTGTACGTTCAAAATTAGAATATGGTTCGATTATTTGGTATCCTCATCAAATCAACAACTCTGATGCGATAGAGAAGGTTCAGCGAAATTTCGGAAATACCTTTATTATAAAACATATAAAATTTACCCTGAACGCATACGTGTACACTTTACTAAAAGAATTTGGTATTCCTTCCCTTGCATCACGTCGATTTATCTGTACAATTATGTTCTTATTTAAACTTTGCAATAATTCTATAGACTGTCCTCTTATTCTCAATCAACTATCCTTTATGTTCCAAGGCTATCTACGCGTTCACAATTATTTTCTCAATTATCCTACTCCTAAATCTAATACTCTCTTAAATTCGCCTATTTTACTTATTTCCTCTAACTTTAACTTAATTAATAATTAAATAGATATTTACAACACTTCACCGAATCAAATAATCTCCATCTGCACAAGTTAACCTTTTTTATTTTCTTTTCAAATATCTCATTATTTTATCTTATTCTGTTTATAAATAATATTGTTACATTCTGCATTATATGTAATTTTATGTTAAGCATTTTATGTTAATAACTATATATTATAATTTTGTATATATTTTAATTGTTATTCATTATGTAAAATAATTGTATTTTTGAGTCCTCTTGGAAGATATCTGTGGGCTATATATTTAAAATAAATAAATAAATAAATAATAAACGTGAAGGTGAATAGTTTTTCTTACCAAGTTTTTTTTCTTAGACAATTGAAAATGCTAGAACAACTCCGTGAGCAAGAAGAAGCCGAAAACGAGCGAAGGCGAAAAGAACAAGACGACTTGGCACTTGCTGAACAGCAGAGGCTTGCAGAAGAGGCTGAAGCAGCTCGTGAGTATAATTTAACATAATTTATGAAAATTAAAGTATAAATTATGGAGTTTTGTTGATCAGGTTTGAGAGCACTTGAGGAAGAAATGAGAAGAAAACTGGAAGAGCTGGAAGCTGAAGAAGCAGAAGATGAAGGTCCTGGTGGTAGCGAGGACGGAGAAGGAGAAGGAGAAGACGAGGTATACACTTTGGCACTTTCCTTCCCAAATATTATTTTTACCTATTTTTGATTTACTTTATTTTTTAGGATGAGTACGGTCTAGGTGGTGACTATGGCTATGGCTACGGAGGCAGAGATTCTTTGAGGTATCAAAAAGGCGCCCATCGTGTTGGCCTGGAGGAGGTCGATAGTACCTTAAGGGACCCTGTGTGCAAAGCCTGCAAGGAACCTTCTGAGGATGAGTACGAGGTGGCGGTTAGCGAATCGGAGGTGAGGAATAGATTATTTTATTCTTATCTTGAAATCTTATATATAAAAATGAATCGCAAAATGTGTTGGTAAACGCATAACTCAACAACGTCTGCACCGATTTGGCCAGTTCTTTATTTAAAATATTCGTTGAAGTCCAAGGATGGTTCTTACGGCTAGAAAACATCGAATAATTGCCGGAAAAATCCTAAAAACACGGCCCTTTTCTTTTTCACATGCAAACGTTTTCTAACTAAAACGTAGAATCAATTTGAGCTTCATTACTATTATATAAAGTTCATATGTATCAAATTACAAGCACTCACTGTATACTCTTCCTAAACTATTATTCGGATTTTGATAAATCTTTCTGAAGTTTGTTAAGGAAATTTTCTAGGATGTATGTGATTATAAAGTACTGGTATGTATGTTCAATATTGTAGAAATGAATGGAAAAATTGCAAAAAACGACATGCCATTGTTTAAAGCAGTTCTACATTTAACACCGCTCATATTTTAAATGTATATGCATTTTGGCGTGAAGAGTAATTAAAAAGCAATTATTATTATTTTTAAGTAAACAGTAAAGATTAGTATCCCATATTGAAAAATTGTAGACATGGGTACAGGACAACGTCTGTCGGGTAATCAATCTAGTATGTAATGAAAATGATTAAAAGCAGGTTCACTGCCGTCATTCTTAACGTTTTTATTTTTAATGTGTAACCAGTCACAAGGTAATGTTTCGCATGGTCTACTTTTTAACTAAAGTGTTTTTTGTTAGTTTTTTTTTGGTTTTTAGCACTGTTGTTTAGTTTACGTTAACTAAATTTATAAAGCAGTTGGAGAAGGAATAAATAAATTAGCAAAAAATTGATTTTGATACCAAAAAATCTTGGAATATTTGAGTTTTATATATCAGATCTTTAAAATGTGCAGAATCATATAATCCTTGTCATTAAATTTAGGAGACTTTTTTGAAGTAAAACTTCTTTAGGCGCGACTAGGGTGTAAATCCGTACAAATGCAACGGAAGTGCGTTACGGCAGTTAAGAGTCGAGTGCCAATGATTCGTCATTCGCTCTCGATGATATCATTTCTATACGGGTCGATTGTGATTAGTTTTTGTGTATGTGAATAGGAATCTGTCATTGTATGCGTACCGGCATCAACGTTGCATGCGTATCGATACCAACAAGGAAATTGGCATAGATAAATAAACATTTTAAAGTAACATCACAATACAAATCTTGATTTAATGAAAAATGCCAGAATCATAAGAATATCTTACCCTGTTTCTTGAAAATAATTGAACAAATTAAACATTTATGCCGTGTACTGAACATAAGTTTATTGATTAGAAATTATTTCTATATTATTCGTAGTTTTTATAAATCTTTGAAGTTATTGCAATGGAAAATATTTTTTAGGCAAAACATATATTACAGCTGTTTAAAGAATGAGATTATATCGCCAGCGAAAAAGTAAAAAAAAAAATACAAGCAGTCAATGAATGTATGTTAATTTTAATTACATGAAGATCTAATAATCCACTGTGTGAACGAATATTATAGAATTTATAAATCAGCAATTATTTCATTTCTCTAAAGAAGGTTCGTTTCTGAATGCTAATTTCAATGACAAACCGATCATGTCATATTTGAAGTATGACTTTAATTACATTATTGTTTTTAAAATATTATAAATATTTTTAATGCTATTATAAATATATATTTTATAATTTATCATCATATAAATGTGTATAATGGTTGACAGACACTAATAAATGTGTGCATCACGAGTGTTATATCATATTACTAATAAACATTATTCAAAATTGTTATAAGATGTATTTATTTTTACTTAAATGCCATCTTGTATAGTAGCAAATAAGTTTTACTTCAATCGCGTGTAAACCTTACACGCACCCTTTTTTTATTTAGGAAGGAGACGAAGAAGGTGTGACTTCTGATATTGCACTTTTGAGAAAATTAGGACCACCAGCAAGTTTTATAGAAGGAAAAGAAGGTGCCAAGTATTACAAAAATTGTGCAATTGGACTGCAGACACAGAAGTATCCTGATGCCTTACACCATGTAAGTGTAAAACAAACAAACTCATATATTTGTCATTTTTTTGGATTTGATTCTTAAGAAGGTGTTATTTTTTCACATTTATATTTTTTGTAATATATATATATATATATATATATATATATATATATATAATTCCTTTTACTTTTACCTTTTTTAGAAAAACTTTCCCTCAATCATCCTCCATCCTGGTGACTTCTACTACCACAAAACCGAGTACAGATTCGGTCTGAAGGTTCGTCCTGGTGTCCTGATTAAAAAAGATGTTTCGACGGAAATTTCTCCTGAAGATGATGGAAAAGAAAAAGTTATTGGACTTGAAGACGAAAGTTGTATCAAAGAATGCGACGATTTGTGTCGGAAAATTGTCATGATTGTTGATCCGTGCTGTGAGGTTAAGGAGAAAAAAATATAAAAATATAACATATATATATATATATATATATATATATATATATATATAAATGGAACAATTGAGATCAATCACTAAAGTAATAAAACTTTTTTGTGATTTTTGACATTTTATTTATATTTTTAATAATTATTCTTAGTGAATTGCCTAAATTGTGCAAATTTAGGAGTTACTTTAAACAAACACTGTTTTAATTCATTTACCTTACAAATTTTACAAATTCAAATTTAATTCCACTCTATCCCATTCCCCTCTTTGCTTTCAAATAAGATTCTTCTATGTTTCCCATCTATATAAGTTTGACTCATTCCTCTCTCTGCTCTCAACTGTCAAATGTCAATCTAACACATAAAATTCTTATCAGAATAAATTAATCGGCGTTATTTTGACTAATTAATTATTATTTACAGTTTTGTCGACGTCAGTTTGCTCAAAAATTAATTCTAAGTACTGTTCTAATATCTGTGATAATTGTTTAATTTAAAATGTCTCATCAAACTGGCATTAAAGGTAAGGCAATTGGAATTTGTTATAAATAATTGCCTTGAAATAACTTTAATATTTCTTTTACCAGGTAATGAAGGTTTGAAGAAGATTTTTGGAAAGTCAAAAGATGGAAAGATACGTGCTATTAAAATCAGTATTGAAAATGGTAAATGGTAAAAGATACATATTTAGTTGTAATATTTTTGTAATTATTTGTCTCGATGTTGCAGAGGAGCTTAATTTGTCTGCACACAAAGAAGTGAAGAGTTCTTTTCAAAAGGATTATGAAAAAATGGTTATGCCCATGATTGAGGAAGATGTACCATGTTATATTCTATTCCGGTAAAATACAATTACATATATATATTAAAAAAAACAATTTGTATATCAATTTTCTTTTTTTAGGTTAGATACTAAAAACACATTAGGGTACGACTGGCTTCTCATAAGTTGGACCCCTGATAGTGCCAGTGTGCGCTTCAAAATGTTATACGCCTCAACAAAAGCTACATTGAAGAATGAATTTGGTACGGCACATATAAAAGATGAACTGCATGCAACTACCATGGTAATGGAATCCTTTATTATTGATTTATATTTATATATTTATCCGATCATTTAATGGGAATGTGCCTAGTATATTTATTGCTGATTTGTTTTAGGATGAAGTGACATACAAGGGTTATACAAAGCATATAGAAGCAATGGTTGCCCCGGCTCCTCTGACGATGAGAGAAGAAGAATTGAAAGAAATTAGGCAGACTGAAACACATGTGGATATTAGTACTAATACAAGGTACATTATATATTATATAATGTATATATATATATATATATATATATATATATATATGTCTTATATTAAAAAAAATTTCTGTAATGGGGTATAAAAGGTTAAATTCTCCTAAACGATTATTGGGATTTTCATAAATCTTCCTGAAGTTTGTTAAGGAAATTTTCTAGGATTTTTTGATTCATAGAAATATAGTTAGATTGTAGAAATAAATAGAAAAAATTGCAAAAAACTGCTTATCATTGATTGACATTGAAAATATTTGAGGCATTGTTTGACATTAAAAACAAATGAAGACTGTCATTTGCCAAACATTTCCATTCACTTATAGGCTAAGACATATTAAAATATAATAAATTCATGATTATAAATAAGGAAAATGTAATGTCTACATTATTATTGCCGAAAAGCAGCTGAGATGTGCCAAAAATAAAAA